GGAGTTTTTTTTGGCTTCCTCTAAGTTTCAAGATTTTTGTCACTTATGGGAGCTACAGATGGCATGAGAAGGAGTCGGTTCCAGCTCTTGGCACAAGGCCAAGGTCAGAGTGGAAAAGAAGGTAACAGGATGCTAGAATCTGTGGTTTCAAAGGTTGGGGAAGACCTTGGATGAGTGTGTGTCCAGAACTAGGGGTGTCTTTCTTAAGGCCTTGGTGGCAGCAGAGGACCTTAATAAGGGCAGTGGGGAATGACAGGGAGACATTTTGGGTGTTAGCAGCTTTTCAGACCTGACCCTGTGTTCCAAATCTGGTGTGACATTGCCTGCATGCTGGAAGTGAGCTTGTCCACATTGTGGGTCATGATAGATTATAAGGTCTGTTACATTTCCAGTAAAACTAATGAAGACTTCCTTGATTTTGAAGGAAACATCTGCTAATTCCCATGCAATACAATTAAACCACTTGCTACTCTGTGCATCTCTAAGGCCCCAAAATAGTGTGATTTATTTTTGGAGATAAATAAATAGCTCATTTTGACTGGAGCGTGGGAAAGGAACAAGATAACAAATAATAAAAGTGTGACTTGAATAAGAAGTTGAGTGGGACAATGAAGGCAGAAGTAGACCTGTAGACTTGGACATGATGGGCTACTGCTTGAGGAACCCTGCTTTGGAGGACTCTTCTCTGGACCTTTTCCAGACCTTCCAGTTCCTAAGGCACGGGGTGTGTACGGGGCTAAGGTTATGCCGCCTGCTAACCTTTTATCACTTCCCTGTGTAAATGTGCCTGGGGTACCTGAAAATTGCCCAGCCTAGTGTCCCAAAGGGTAGTGTTGCCCTCTTCAGTGAGTTGGTGCCTATGATTTGTGTAGCTCTATGTCCAAGGGGTGACTGTTTCCATGGGCAGGCATGTGATTATGAAGGCTGGAATGGCTACAGCCCTAAGTGTGGGAAGAGAATAAGGAAAGTTCTTCTGAGATGGCTGTGTTCCAGCCAGAACCCCAAGGAGTCTGGGGGAAAGCCTGGGTTTCCAACAATGTACCAACTGATGTGTCATATTATAAGAAGTAGTGGTGTTGAGCACTATAAAGCAGAATAAAGTGGGTCAAGTTGGTAGTGTGTGTATGGGGGGAGCTCTTTTAGAAACAGGGGTCAGGAAAGTTGTCTCTTAAGTGATGGCATTAAGCAGAGACCTAAATGAAGTGAGGGGTTGAGGGCATTTGGGCACAGGAGTCTGGAATAGCAGCAGGAAAATCCTTGAAGCAACAGGTAATTTGTACAGAGGCATAGGAGGAATGGATCAAGTTGAGCCTTTATGGATCATGATAAATATTTTTATTCTCAAAATAAGTTGGAAAGTCATTGCCAGGTTTTGAGTAGGGGGATGAGACAATTTCATTCCATCTTTAAAATCTTGACAATTACGTAGGATATTACTAGAGCATTTTTTTTTTTTTAAGATTTATTTATTTATTCATACAAGCACTGGGTACAGTCAGAAGCGTGGGAGGGTGAGAGAATTCACCAGAGCCAGAGCAGGGAGCAGAACAGGCAGAAGGACCGAAGTACACTGCTGAGGGGAGCAGCGGGCGGCAAGAGAGGTCTGCGCACCATGTGGGACCCTCGCCAGCGGCCGGGGATCGAACCGGTGCTGCAGAGGCTGCAGGCCGCTTCACTGCCCAGCGCTCAACCGCTGCACCACCGGGGAGGCCCTAGAGCATGTTTTAAGACTTATTCCAATTTATGAAGAACAATATTTTAGTTGTAGCATAATATACTTAAAACGTCCCATTTTAATCATTTTTGTTTATTTTTTATTATTATTATTTTTTGTTTATACAAGAGCCGGGGTACAGTCCAGATGCACGGGAGGGTGAGAGGATTCACCAGAGACAGAGCAGGGAACAGAACAGGCAGACTGACGAAATACACTGCCAAGGGGAGCAGCCGGTGAGACAGGAGAGGTCTGCTTGCCATGTGGGTTACTCCAACACTGGCGGAGATAGAACTGGCATTGCAGAGGCGGCGGACAGCTTCACAGCACTGCGTTCAACTGCCCGCGCCACCAGGAAGGCCCCATAACCATTTTCAAATCTACAGTTCAGTAGCATTTAGTCCATTCACACTGTTCTATAATCATCCTCATTAGCTCCAAAAACTTTCCATCTTACAAGACTGAAACTCTATACTAATTGAATAATAGTGCCTCATTTCCTCCTCCCTCTAGCCCCTGGAAACCCCGCTCTAAGTTCTATATCTACGAATTTGACTATTTTAGATATCTCATATAAGTGGAACCATGCAGTATTTGTCTTTTTATGACTAATTTCACTTAGTATAATGACTTAAAAATTATCCATGACGGTCCACCCCTGGTGGCGCATCGGTTGAGTGCTGGGCTGTGGAGCTGCCCGCAGGTTCTGTAGCACCGGTTCAATCTCTGGCCTTCGGCCCGGGTCCCACATGGCGCGCAGACCTCTCCTGCTGCGCCCACTGCTCCCCTCAGCAGTGTATTTCATCAGTCTGTCTGTTCTGTTCCCCGCTCTGGCTCTGGTAAATTCTCTCACCCTCCTGCGTTTCTGACTGTACCCTGTGCTTGCATAAATAAATAAATCTTTTAAAAAAAATTATCCATGATGTAGCACATGTGAGAATTTACTTCCTTTTAAAGGCTGAATAATATTCCATTGTATGAATATATATACCAACTGTTATTTTGCCATTAATCTGTAAGTGGATGATTGCTTCCATGTTTTGTGAGAAATAGTGCTACAAACATGGGTGTAAAAATGATCTCTTCAGGCATCTGGCTTCACTTCTCTGGGCCATATACTCAGAAGTAGAATTGGACCATATACTAAGAAGTAGAAGGGCTGTATGGTAATTCTATTTTTTAAACTTGTTAAGTCTGTTATACTGTTTTCCATAGTGACTGCACTATTTTACATTTTAATCAGCAGTCCACAGGGTTCACTTTCTTTACATCCTGGCCAACACTTGTATTTTTGTTGTTCACTTCTTTATTTTAGATTTGGTAATAGTCATCCTACTAGGTTTGAAGTGGTATCTCATTGTAGTTTTAATTTGTATTTCCTTATTGAATAGTGATGCTAAGTATCTTTTAATGTGTTCCTTGGCCATTTGTATATATTCAATTTTTTTTTAAAGTTTGGGATATGACCATTATTGGGCATGATTGTACAAAACGAAGGGTCTGCTATTTCACTTCTGCATAATAATTAAAATCCAAACAGTTTTTAAAAAAACAGTCAATTCAAATAATATCCTTAACAAGGTCTTAGATGTCATGGACCTAAAAGACATTTATAGGACATTGCTCTCCCAAAAACTGCGCACACATTCTACTCAAGTGTACACAGAACATTCTTCAAAATAGACCATATGTGGGGTCACCAAAAAAATATTAATGGAGCCATGAAGATTTCAATGATATCAAGTATATTCTTTGATCACAATGGTATCAAAGTAGAAATCAACCATAAAAAGAAAGCAGGACAAATCCTCTAATATATGGAGATTGAGCAACATACTACTGAATGACCATTGGATGAACAAGAAAATCAAAGAGGAAAAGAAATACCTGGAGATAAACAAAGACACAACATATCAGAATCTATGGGAAGCAGCAAGAGAAGTATAGCAGGAAAGTATATAGCAATACAGGCCTACATCAAGAACAAGAAAAAGCTCAAATCAAAAAGCATTACCTCTCACCTCAAGGTACTAGAAAGAGAACAAACAACACCAAAGCAAGAAGTATTTTATCCTTTTTGATGCTATTGTAAGTGGAGTTGTTTCTTAATTTGGGGGGTGTTCATTATTAGTATGTAGGAATGCAACAGATTTTTTATGTGCTGCTTTTTTATCTTGCAACTTTGCCAAATTTGTTTATTAGTTCTAACTGGTATATTATGTGTGTGTGTGTGTGTGTGTGTGTGTACTCTAGGATTTTCTACATATGAGTTTATATCATGTACAGACAGAAATAAAATGACATTGTTTTTTCTAATTTGAATGCCATTTTCTTCTTGCCTAGTATTACTATAGCTTTCCATTGAATAAATGATGAAAATTTTAATGAGCATGGGGGGAAGTGAGAAATGATTGGATTTGAGATATATTTTTCAGATAGAACACATGGCATTTGTTGGCTTGAAGGTTGGTTATGGGAGAAAGAGAGGCATTAAGGAAGTCTTATAGGTTTGCGGATGGGTGAACTGGCTGAATAATTGTGGTGTCATTCGATTAAATGGAATAAAGGGGGGGAATGTAGTTTGGTAGAGAAAGAAAAAAGCTCTCCTTGACTGTATTAAAGTTGGCCATGGGTGTGGAAAAGGTAGATAAAAGCAAGAGAAGAGGAAAGAAATCCTTTGGGGAACGTCTATATTGGAAATGGGGTGGAAGAAGTGGCATCAGAAACAGGCAGCGATGGAAAAATCCAAGAGGTAGAAAAAGAAACCGAATCAGAGGGATAAGGAGAAATTTTCAAGAAAACGGCATTGGTAAACTGTGCACAAATTGGGGAAGGAAGATGAAGTTTGAAGAGGGGAAGTTCACAGGTGACTTTCAATTGAGGATTTTCAGCAGAGCGGGTAAGGCCTCCTGGCCTGAGTACAAGAAAGTTGAAAAACGAGTAGGTATGGAAAGTGCTCCAAAAAAATGCTAAAGTGCTGGACATATGCAGTGGTGTTGATGTTAGTGTTGTCATGGAAACAATAACCATTTAGAACTAAAAGCCATTTAAAATCCCAGGCTTTAACCCTCATAGCGCCTTGATCTGTATTCGAAACATGCTAATTAATTATAGGGGTGGGGCGAATCCAAGTTTTGCCAGTTTAAAAGGCCTCCTTAACTGGAAATCCTCCTCTTCTTGAGAAGGAAGCCTACACTAAGTTCTATTACGCACTGGCCAAAACTTGCTATTGGCTCACAGTGTTCATAAAATATAATTTGCTCTTTCACTTTTCTTTTTAAATGAGCTGCATTATTTGGAGGAGGCAGGCAGGAGAGATAGAGGAGGCAGAAACCAAGGCAGCTGAAAGAAAGACACCTTCAGGTGAGCATTTTAATCTTTGCTTTGTTAATTCGGTGTTGAGAATTATGTCTTGCTTATCACTTCATAGTAAGAATAATTTTTGAAAAGTAAATTTATTTTGTTCCCTTATACATTTTTTTAAACCTGGCAATTGGGAAGGTACACAAAAAAAGAAGAAAACAAAAACAGCAGCTGAGACTCTCTTGTTATTTTGGGTATATTTCGTTCCTTTTCTTTTTGTATATGCATATAATTTTAGTTTGATTTTCTTAACTTTTTTCAAACAGTATGACTTTGCATTAATTTTTTCCACTAGAACACACTTTTTTTTCACATTGCTATAAATTCTTCATCATCTTGACTTGATTAGTATTACATTGAAGAGATTTGCTGTATTTTCCTCAAGCATTTCCCTATTTTTGACCATATAGCATCTTTTCTATTTCTCAAAGACTGAGTCAGGTATGAGTGTCCCACCGTGAGGCTGGAGAGATAGCATTATGTGAGATTATTTTTTTTTTTTTTTCCATTCAAGGTCTTGTTTTGGTAGGAGAGGATGCGAAGTCTGAAAATGGTTTTTACTTAGAGACACATGAGAGGGAGTTTTCAAGAGTGTGTGCTTAAAATGTGTTTGCCTCTTTGGGACCACAATCAGTACTTCTGATAACATCGATGTTTATTAATCAGCACAGAAGGGAAACTGTGGTACAGGATAAGAAAGAAGTAAGGTACAAAGTAGCATTGTTATATATACTCATTTTTGTTTAAAATGTGTATATTTAAAGAAAGATAAAAGGAAACATGCACAAAAATTTATATTTTTCTGATTGGTGGTAAAGTTTGTAATTTAAGCTTTTTCGGCTTATATTATCTTTTTTTTAAAACTGCCAACATGCACTACTTGTGTAATAAGAATGTAAAGTCGATTAAATAGAATTGACTTTCTGGCTGAGCCTTCCCTAGATGAAATATTCCCAATTCCTTTCATTTGGCCACAAATTGGCAACCCTTAATTCTCTGAGCTTTATACATTATTCTTACAAATGTTTTTATTAGGTAGCATCAACTGAAAATTTGCCAAGTGTCAGGTGTCAAGTTAATCATGTTATTCCTATTGTCTTCGTTAATGTTCACTTTAGTCCTCCCTGCAGATGAGGGTTTTGAAGCTTAGAGAGAAGTAAAAGTGACCAAGAGGTAGAGCTGAGACTTGAGTGTTGGTTCCTTCCAACTCAAAAGCACTTGACTTATTCATTGTAATGCCCAGCCTCTCTATCTATAGGGGTCATAAGGTTCTGCATCATCTAAGAAACAGCTGTTTGGGAAAAAAGATCATACTTTGTAATGTGCTCATTGCAAAATCACCTTGGGATTTTGTATCTTGTACGTATTCCAGACTTGGGGCCTCCTCTTGTTTTTCTAATTTTGTGTTTCACCCCAGACATCTAGTCTTCCAAGGCTAAGTCTAAAAAGTAAAAGCCTAACAAGGGATTGTGCAATTACCCAGTGAGCTCTAGTTAAAGCAGCAGCCAAGCTGAATAATGCAGAGAGGCCAACATTTTGCCTGGGTTGCTCAGCTTTGCGATAAAATCTCATTTAATCCATTTCAGAAACCCCCGACCCCTGGCTCCACTCAGAACTATAACTAAGCTTCTCTTAGGGGACTGCCCACTCCTTCTTTGTACTAGAGTTACTTGCGTTTGGGTCGCACCCTTCTACTGGGTGAAGGATGTCTGAGGATAGAGCCTTTGCATAAAACCGAATGCAAGAGCTTCATTAAGAATAAATAGGAAAGTATAAATAAATTCATCAAATGTGGACTTGAGTAATAGCCTATGCTTATTTCTGTTAAGCCTATTTGCCTTTTCTATCTTTGACAACATTTAAAGGAAATGTTCTCCTATGGACTGATGATGTGGGCATAGTCTGATGCTTGTATAGAGAGGAACAGTGAGCTGGAGCCAAATAATCCCAAACTTGGAGGAGTGTCCATGCCAGACATGGACATTTTTGGCATTTTAGTGTTTCGAAGAGAGCTTTCAAAAAAAGTGAGGAAGCATATTGAGAGAAAACAGGAAGAAGGAAAGGAGTGGAGGGACAGAAAGAGGAAGAGAAGGGTAGGAGAAGGAAGGGAGGAGCTTAACTGCTCAGGAAGTTTAATGATGAGTTAAACTGGAAGAATTTTATTTTATTTTTAAGATATTTATATGAATAATGAACAATGACATAATATATTATATATATATTTTATGTCATTGAACAATGATGTAATATATATATATATATATATTACATCATTGTTCATTTTTGTACATTGTCCTCTCAGGTCCCCATAAAATCCCCACCACCAAGTCATCTGTGAACCATCACCATAGTCCCTTGTGCTCTTCCCTCCCCTTAAACTAGAAGAATTTTAAAGGATCCAGTTTGCCATTGTTACCTCTATATACATTATAAAAAAAATTATTGTACTTTATTAAAAAAAATGAACTTTTTTCTCATGGGGAAAAAAGCCTATTTCCATGTAAGTGTACCACTAAGAGGGGTAAAGAGCATTTTACCTGGTTTGCATTTTTAGTATAGAAAGCACAACTGTTTAGAGTATTTGGAGGCATCTTAGATTCCTTAAGGTTAGTTGATTTCTTTATGATTTGATTCTTACCTTTTTTTTAAGATTTATTTTATTTATACAAGAGCTAGGGTACAGGCCAGTGGTTGAGAGAATTCACCAGAGAGAGAGAGAGTGGGGAGCAGAACAGGCAAATCCACTGAAATACACTGCTGAGGGGAGCAGCGGGCCAGGCAGGAGAGGTCTGCTGCACCATGTGGGTATCTCCCTGACCAGCCGGGATTGAACACATGCTGCAGAGGCTGCAGACAGCTTCACAGTACTGTGCTCAACCCACTGCACCACCGGGGAGGCCCCCTGATTCTTATCTTAACAATAGCTTTTTCTCTCTTGTAAATTTTCTGAGGGATTTTAAGATGTTTCCCTTGTTAACTGTAGCAGACACAGATCTCTTGTTAGTTCAGAGTCAAAAAGACAATTGTAACCTTCAGCGATATAAACAGTGTTACTTCCTATGTTGAAGACTGCAGTGCCGGTTGGATCCTTGCCAGATGGAAGATACCCACATGGCAGGGCAGACCTCTCCTGTCTCACCCACTGCTCCCCTCAGCAGTGTATTTCAGTGATTCTGCCTGTTCTGTTTCCCGCTCTGTCTCTGGTGAATCCTCTCACCTCCCATGCATCTGGCCTGTACCCTGGTTCTTGTATAAATAAATAAATCTTTTTTTTTTTTTAAAAAGAGCACCACTGGACTCCTCTTTGTGGCCACCCCCTCCGCCCCACGCCATGCCACTAACCCTGCATTCCTGTCTGCAGACCTTTGATTTAAATTTCAGAGACAGAAGTTATGAGGAAAAGTGCACTGATGTCATTTTGTTGCAAATGAACATTGGGATGTGCCCCCCCTCACCCCCGACATTATCATGAGATATAAAATGAGAAGTCTGGGTAATAGCTTCATACTCATTCTTTGGTCACTTATTTGAACATATCTGTGCATCACAGGCTGTGTTGGGCCTGGGGTTATAGACAAGTGAAACCCCATCTGCGCCTTCCCTGGGTCAACACCCTAGAGGGTGGAGCTATAGGGGAGCTGGTGCTGTCCCCAGGGTGGGTGGTAGCCCAGGCAGTCTGAGGACCTGCAGGTGCACATGGAGCAGCAGCCAAAACCTGGGGCGGGGAGGTGTCAGAGAAAGGCTTTTGTGAAGAAGTGATGTCTGGAAAGAACCCTGAGGCCAGGTAAGTTATAATTAGCCAGATAATAAGCTAGAGCTCAGAGTGAATAGGTGAGAGATCCTGGTGTATTCAGGGCATTGAAATAAGTTACATGAGGAAGAAGTGGATTTTCCTGAAGGGAAAGTGGGGAGAAAAGATGGTGGATGACAAGATCCATATTGTGAAGAACCTGAGTTGAACTTTATTCTGAAGCAATGATGAGTGTTGAGCTGAAGAGTAACATTGGCGAGGTACATGATCTGGCAGCCAAGTAGAGAATGGATTTAAAGCAGCAAGAGTGGAAGCAGGGAGTCATTCAGGGGACTGAGTCTATTGTCCAGGTGACAAAAGTCAGCCTGCACTGGGAGGGTCCTGAACAGGTGCGTGGGAGGGAGAAAGGGGTTGGTGGGAGGAGACTGGGTGGTAGATGACCTGCAGAGCAGCTCCTTGCCCGCCCCTCTGTGGATTGCAGATGCCCACTGCCCCCTTGTGAGAACGTGCCTAGAGCACTGTCTTGGGAAATTACTAAGATTTTTGTTTTTTCCAGACATATTGAAACATTCTCTCCTTGCCTGTTTATTTCTTACTGTATATACAGGGATCCTACACCTGGCATACTAAAAAGTGCTTAGACTTTTCTTCTCTTGGCAACATGGCTGAACAAAAATGATAATGCATTAAATGTACAACTACCAGGCTCAGGGCAGCTGAGTTGGAGCCTTTCACCAATGTCACCTCCATTCAAAATCACCGAGAGGCCAGTGTTTGCTCATGCTCACACAGATAGCAAGAGATAGTGCTAAGATATGAACGCTGTGGTGATTTACTCCCCAAAAGTTTTCCATGATGCTTAATGCTTCTATGTCATTCCAGGAGACATTATGTTTAAGAAACTACCTTTATAAATAATTCTTTTTTTCTAAGAAGTGAATTTCATCGTGGAATATGAATGCCTAGGTAGGAGGGAAGAGAGAGAGAAGGAGTTTGATTCTGAATAAGTGGACTCGAGAGTCATGACACGTAGTTGCTGTGATTGTGGGCAGGGAGAGTCTGAACATTGACATACCACTAGAACATTTCTAGAATAGTAAGGCAGTGACATCTGAGTTAACACTTGCTGATTTTTTTCCCCCTTCTTCTGTGTTTGGAATCAGAAGATCTGGGAATCAGACACAGATGCAGAAACTTTCAGATGCAGAAATTGGTTTAATAACAGGTATCTTCAATCTTCCTTAATACA